AAGAAGAAAAGTCTTTGATCATATGAATTATGGCACACTTGTTGTTTAGCGCTCCCCCTATCTCCTGGCTTAGCATTTGGTGACCTCAGTGCTCCATGAATAAGACTGCTTCTCACACATCCTAGCCCAAATCCTGGACATCATATTATTCTGATGTTTCCCAGGAAGATCTCAGCAGAGTGTGTCATGAATTCAGAGACAGAAACAGAGTGGAAACACATTACAAGAACCTATCAGGGCAAATCCAAACTTAAAAGGCTTGGTAATGCCTACCCATATAAAATGTCTGCCTCTCCACTGTTCAAAATTTATCCTAACACTAAAGATCAAAGAGACCTGTGGATATTTCTCTTAAAGTATATGCATTTTTCAAATAGTAAAAATTGGATTTAGCCCAAGGTATTAATATACCATTCAGTGAAAATTAGATTCCTTTTTATAATACAGTATTACTCAATTAGAGACAGGTAGTAATATAGAAGAGGGGATACTAATAAAGACAATATTTATATGTAACTATATGACAAGAAGCCTTATTTGGACAAAGGATCTAAAAAGCTAACATTGCTGCATATGTACAGAAAATGAGGAAAGAGGGTATGGATGGAGGATAGATGACGCATGATGAATAGAGGGAAAGATATGGTATCTCATATAATTCTGTATATGTACATGAATGTATATGAAACTTTAGAGAAAGCTGAAAACAATAAATGTAACAGCCATGTGATAATCTCTGGGCAGGTTGTTATGCCAGACTTTATACTTCACTAGGTGTTTAATAGATTTTTTTCCTTACTTAAGAATTTTCCTGTTTTCAGGAGGTTGTTATCTGTGGATGTGGCTGCTAGAAACCTAACTTGGGTTTTCTGGAGAACAGCAGGCAGTCAGTCACTGAGCCATCTCTCCAGCCTTCCCACACCTCTTCTTACTTTCTTCTAAATACTGATCATGTTCTCTCCTTACTAAATCTTACATCGATATTGCATGAAATACTTTAATTTACTGTTGTGTGCAAATGTTCACACTTTAAACACTGCAACTCTAATACACTGCAATTAATATTCTAAATTTTTTCCTCTAAGAATTTTAAGTAGAAAGCCAGTGTGTGTAAGTTCCATGGCTAAATATCTGCTCAACTTTGAGAAAGGTACATTTTCTTAGAGCTCCAAGAATATCTGTAGCTTCTGTCACTTCCTATGGATCAATTCCACACATCAGCAAGACACTTCATGTGTCCAGCCTATGTCTGTGATCCACATCTACTGCCCTACCCTTCCCCACTGGATCTTCCATCTCTCCTAACCTTCTTTTCTTTCGCCTGTAAGATAACCTGATGCTGCCTTATTAAGATCAGAGGAAGCCCAACTTTGAATTGAATTTCCTTACTGTAAAGATGCGGCTTCAACCCAAACAAGGACACTTGGCCCAACTTATTGCTCCTCTCCTCTCATTTGTAGTGAGTACTTAGTACTGCATCCCAGAATTTGTAGAGTGAGACCGGATATTAAAATGATTAAGAAGAAGAATGCGATTAACCAAGTGAGAAGAGAAGCTGGAGATGTTCATGGTTCTAGGACTAAAAATAAATAATAGTAATAATTAAAGTAAGCTTATAAGCAAGAAAAAAGCTAATTATACACATGAAGCTGTCCATCATCTGATTCTTACAGCAAACTGAGTCAACCTGTACACAAGTGTTGAATGAAAGGATGTATTGGACTGACTGCTTTCTAATAGGTTCCCTCCCATTTATCCCACCTCTAGTCCCCAGTAACTATATCAATCCCACCGCAAGGGATATGGTGACAAGAATACTTACAAGAACAGAGACACTGGCACCTCCTGCTGACTCTCCAAAGATGGTCACTGAATCTGGGTTCCCTCCAAAGTTTGCAATGTTATCCTGGACCCAGCGTAGTGCAGCCAGCTGGTCCAAGTGAGCCCAGTTCCCCCGGCTGTGTTCATCACCTGTGCTGCAAGGTGACAGGGTAGAATGGGGAGAGAGATGTCATAGCAGGCCTCTCAAGAGCCAGACAAGATAGCCCAGAGAAGTTCAATGAGCTTTTCAGAATCAGGTTGGAAACCACATTACTCAACTGAGGGACTTTACCTGCTTGTAATCCCAACAGCATTGCTCTGTATGGCTCTCTACATTCATATTCTAGAAACTACGTACTGCACTGAGGATCCATAGAATATTCTAGATTGCCCAAACAGATAAAGAACAAGATAAACAAAATCTCTGACTATGTTCAGCTCACAGTGCAGAGCAGAATCAATCAGACTAGAAACAGCATGTCAGCTTGCAGAGAAAATACAGTGTGGACAAGGAGGGTCTGTAAGGTAGCATTTCATCTGGGAATATCCTGTTTGAAGCAGTAACTCTTGGGAAAGAGAAATAGTATCTAGCCAATCTTGTGTGTTTGTTTCATTAATTGAGCAAAATGAACCAAAGCAATGACTAATTAATATGCAGAGAGGAAGAATGTAGTATCTTACCTAAATAATCCAAAAATACCCAGGCGGTATTGAATGGTTACCACCACCACGTTTTCATGGGCAGAGAGAGCTAGTCCATCATAGGTTGATGCTCCACCTAACATCAGTCCACCTCCATGGATCCACACCATCACCTGGACAACAATAAAGCCACACAGACAATAGAGTGAAGATTTGGGACCACCAGTGAGTTCATCTGAAATGGATGTCTGTATCTAGGCTGTGACTGGTGGTCAGTGACCAAACCATACCAGTTCTGGACGGTTGCAACAGGATAACTTTATTTTTGGCTTTAAACTCTCTAAGATGAGGGCCAGGACACCATGCCCCTCAATAACCCCACCCTTTCTTCTCATCTCTCACAGCCTCCTAAGAAACAGAATTGAGATTATCATGAGACCTGTAAAGGCCAAGGGTGCTGTCATCACCCTGCAATCACATCATGTCACAGCAAGAACTTCAGGCAACTGGACATGAACAAGAGACAGACTTTGTATTTCAGCTTTGTCTCATCCTTTTCAACTCATTAAACTTCTCTGTGTTCACATATTGTCTGGGGAGACACCTGCTGCCCTGATGGCATCCCTTCCTAGTGCACCTCTGCTTAAGCCTGAGTCTTCCAACTATGCTACTCCCAGCTCACATCCACTTCATTCAAGATGTCTTTGATCATTTGGCTAACATTATCTCAGAATCTACAATGTTCCAGGCTCTCTGATGAAACTTGAGTAGAAGAAGGCATGTAATAATTCATAATCCATGTTCTTTGACTTAAGTAGCATGTAGATCAGAAAAGAAATGAGGGTATGTAAAATAATACTTTGATAACACAATTAATATGAGAGAAGATCTTGGGGATACAATGAACCAATAATTGATCTATGCACTAAAATAATAACTTCTCCATATGGTGAGGAATAATATTGTCCTGTGTGACAGATAAGAAAAGGAGGAGAAGCTTCCTGCTGAGAAACTACAGCCAGTAAGAGAATGAATTGATCTTGATCCTGATGCTAGTTCCCATCAGCCAGTTGCTGAGCTGATCAACACCTGTAGTCCATGACCAGAGTGCAGTGAGATAGCTCTTTAGTCATGAGACAGATCCTCCTGTAGGTCTGCTTAGTGTGACAGCCTGGCTGTTGGCTCTCAGGCAGTCTGTGATCCAGCTTGACACTCACTGAACTTTTATATGACGTTTCCAATGTGAGGAAACAGGCTGAGAGGTTATGTAAAGGCTCTGTTCTCTCATTTTCTTGAAGGCAGATCCAGGTTTAATATTCAGAACTCGTGGCTCTAGTACATGTGTCTAAAGCTACAGGGTCTCCTGTTTCCATGATTTGAAGATCCCATTTTCTCAATCTGGATCACTGTAGCCTCGAAGAGAGATGAATCGTGGACATCTAAGAGTGAAGGCTGAGTCTGAGAGTGATGAGTAATGATGTCTTGAAGAGGTTATGATGTATTTATGTAGACCAGTTGGAATGGTCCTTGAAAGCATGAGTATGTGGGAACTGATTAAATGTTTCCTTTCTCAGATCCCAAGTGCGATTTTTAGATATCTGCACCTCCGAATCAGGTAGGGAGAGTAAAGGTTTCAAAGGCCTTGTTGCTTGGACTGATAAGGTTCTTTCTTCTTCCTATTCCAACAATTGCTATTGGTTTCCTGATAAATGATGTCAATTGTCTAATGTTGAGTGGACCTGATAATAATCATGGACAATCAGGGACAGATGCATGTTCTCCTAATGCAGGAAGCCATCTCAGTCACAGAGCAGTCTCAGGTATTTTTTGCTATTCACAGTTTATAAATGAGGGACTGAATGCACAGAGAGGACTGATAGCTGCCCCAAGGACATATATCCAGAAAGACTCATGGTAGGTAGTATTTATATTTCCAATTCCATTGTAAGCAACATCCTGGGTCCCTTCCCAATGAGTAGGCTAGATAAAGCTGCCTGCTGGGAAGCTCACTTTTTATATGACTTGAAGAGTGGGAGTCACCAAGTTTTTTTTTTCTGCTTACTCCCAGGGACTTCTGAACATAGGGAACACTAAATCTTAGAGTATATTTCTACAACTTTGTCAGCCATTCCTGGGTCTCACACAGAGGGCTTTTGGAAGTTTGATGGGTGTTGACGTGGCACAAAATCAAGAATACCTTCTTTAGAAAACTCTCTCCAAAACATGTCATCTGTACCTGGCAACCTGTCTCTTCTCCTGTACTGTGTATCCATGTGAAATGCTGAATCATTTGGTCATTTGACTATGCAAAAGGCAGCCAGACATGTCAATGATACACAGTGAAATCCTGGGGTGCTGCCTCCAGACAGGGAACATGCTTTTGAGATTGTCCCAGCATTCTCCCTCCTCCCTCCCTTTCATGGGAGAATAAAAGTTTTCATCTCTCATTAAAGCTTCCACAGGTGACCTGAGAATAAAACCCATCTCCCCGACCCACAGGCCCTGTCTATGAGCATCCACATGAAACCAGGAAACCTGAGCCTACCCTTCATGGTGCTCTATTATTTTCCCCAAAAGAACCTCGTTTTCTCTATTTGTATGATGTCAGGTTGTTCTGTTTCCCCTAAGATTTTTCCAGTTGTGAATTTACTGGAAAATTATGACTTAACTGCCATGGGGATAGGATTCTCATAAGATTAGCTGTTCTTTTCCTTCTGTCCTGTGAAGACTTGGGAAATTTCATGTGAGCTGCATAGTGCTCTCTACAAAAGTCTGACATCACTGGAAAAAATTTCAAATGAAAACTGGAAGCTTGGTCCCTTATCACTCCCAGCCTATGTAATATTGACTTTTTCTGCATTTATCACTTGTAATTCCACAGAAGATCTAGATGTTCAATCTTAAAGTCTGGGCAAATGGTTTAAGCACTTACAGGCAATTGATTGTTTTCTGTTGACTCAGCAGGACTGTAAATATTCAGGTAGAGACAGTCTTCAGAAAACTCAAGAGGTATGCTCTCCTTTTTGGTGTTGAACACATCTGAGAGCAGCTGTCCCAGAGATGCCTCTTGGGAGCACCTGGGAGGGGAGAGAACATCTGAGATTCCACCAGAGTGAGCATGTCATCCGAGCCTGATCATGTACTGAGAGATTTGAACATATAAAATTAGTTCCTATTATTTCCCTGGAGTTGTTGCTATGTGAGAGGTGGGAACCCTGGAAATCTTTCGGGTCTCTAAACACTATGGAGGGAGAAGCAATTGGTACCTTTCTTTTCCTGGAGTATTTTGGGATGTTCTGGACCAAGGAGTAACTAGACCATCTTTAAGGACTCATGATACTCTCACGGATACCAGGAATTGCTGTTAATATAGTTAGTCAAAGGATTGCCTTGTCTCCATCCTGCATTACTGTGAGATCTCACAGTGAAGTTTTGTCTTTTGCTGACTATGTATTGTAAAGCTAAGTACTGGCTCTGGTTGACTCGGGGAAGAGGAGATTCTCAGGTATAACAAGTAAGGCTCTGTAACCTTGTCTCCCAAATTATCCTTGATTGGTCAATAGAAATGCCTACAGCCTATGGATGGCAAGGGAGGTAGGCAGAATATCAGTTTCTGGGCTTGGTGTCTGAGGCAGGAGAAAACAAAGCAGGAGAGGGAGGTGAGGGGGGAAGAGATTGTAGACAGAGGATAAGACACCATTGGGTAGTTAAATCATGAAAATGTTGCCATGAGGGCTGAACAGTTGGTGTAAGCAGCGCAGGTAGAACATGGAAAATTATATCTCAGTTATTGATAGGGTAGTAGAAAAAAAAACAGCAATGAGGTATATGTCCAGCTCAAGTGCTTTTTAAAGTCTTACTTTAAATATAAAGTTTATATGTCTTTTATCTAGGAACTAAATAGTCTAAGGTATGGTAGATATCCCCAATTAATATTATATATTTACAACTACACATACACGCAAAAACAGTCCCTATCCCAGTGGCTTACATAGGAGGGTAGGAGGTGGCATCCTTCACGAAGCTCCAGGGCTCTACAGGCTCTGGTGGAGCAAACCTCAGGGATCCAAGAGGAGGCTTGGCAAAGGGGACTCCCAGGAAGACTGCCACAGGCCGTTCAAATCCTTCTATGCTGATGTACTTTCCCAGGACTTTACCTTGAGTGGTATTCACCACGGGTGGTAACAATGAGAGTCCTGATGGTCAAGAAAACATGAGAATACATCAGAGGGGAAAGAGCAAGTCTGGATTCAAGGCTGCTTTCGTCACTTTTAGGCTTGCCCCATCGATAGTTATTTGAATCTTCTAAGGTCTCATTTCCTTCTGAAATTAAAGAGAACACCAACTAAAAAGTAATCTGTTTGGAAGTATAAAAGTAGCCGGCCTAAGCCAGTACGAGCATTATTGCTCTGCTTTATGCCTGCCCTGTATATATCCCTATATATTTCGAGGACAGATTTTCAAATGTGCAACCCAATGTTTGTAATCCAGAAGAACTTACCCCATATTGGGCAAGCAGCAAGAGAAGCCCAGACCAGAGCACAGAGCCACATGGTAGTGGAAGAACAGGAGCTTTTGGAGACAAAGAGGTGTCTGCTGCTCAAATAGAAAGCCTTGTTCCTGCCTCTTTGCTGTGGACCTGTCTCTAGACCAATTAGCATGATTACATAAAGCTCTCCTTCCTCCAAAGAGCTCCCCAGATGCTTGTTAAGACCTCCAAGCCACACCCACTAAGAATTTACTCTTCTTAATATTTAAAGACACTACCCACTCTCTGATACAAAATGGCCATGAACTCATCCAACCTCAAATTCAAACACTTGTAGTTCAATAGTTCAGCGTACCCTGAACTTCACAAGGAAAGCACCAGTAACAAGATGCATGCAGTCAGGAAGACGCCTTGAGTTAGGATTCCCACCACAACCTGGAAAAGTAAGAGCACTTCACATTGCCAGTGTTGCCCAGCTGGGAACATTGCACACTTCCCAGCTTCCATGGAATGCCATTTCCTGGAAGACAGGCTCCCAGATTAGAAGTTTTCTAATCTCACTCTTAGGCCAAAGTATATTCTGATGCCTGTTATTCCTGCCAGGTGGCCTGACTTGCCAGTGTACACCTTCTCTGTTAATGATCTCACTGCTTTAGAGCAGGTGTGTTTAAACAGAATGTTTGTATTAGTTTCTTCTGGTTGCTGTGATGAAACACAAAGAGCAAAGGCAATCTAAGGAAGAGAGAGTGTCCGGAGGGAGAGCAGTCCATGATGACAGAACAGAACCATGGCAACACATGGCAAGCAGGATGGTTTGAAAGGAAAGCCAAGAGCTCATAATACTTACATGTAAGCTTGCAACAGAGAGAGAATTAGAAACAAAGAGGCTTTAAATTCTCACAGCCTACTTCCACTGACAGACTTCCTCCAAGAAGGCTACATCTTCTAAATATCCCCAAACTGCACCACCAACTGTGCCTCAAGTGTTTGAATGCCTGAGACTATAGGAACAGTTCTCAATCAAACACTCCATTGTTCTCACGGCAAATAAACTCTATGAACCACAATCCTTTCCTCTAATCATCCACACATGCATCTATCTATGAATTCTTTCTTTCTTGATGATTTTATTTATTTTTATTTTATGCATATGAGTGTTTTTCTGCATATATATCTATACACCATGTGCATGCATTGCCCAATGTGGCCAGAAGAGGAAGTACTCCATGGTATGTGAGAATGGAGTTATAGATTGTGAACCAATGTATGGCTCCTGGAAATTGAACACGTGTCCTCTAGAAAAGCAGCCATTGATTTTGATGGCTGAGGCACATTTACAGCCGTTATCTATGAATTCTTGAAAATGTCCAAACTGTTTAGCATTAGGGTCACCAGACTGTACTTGAGTGGGGCAAGCAAGATAAAAACGAGTATGTCCTGTTTGATTTCAGGTTTAACTATGTGGTGTCATTTCTGTTTCTCAACCTCAGCAGTCCTGGTACCTTGGAAAGAAGCATGTGTCTCTTTTATAGTGCTGCTCTCTCCAGGATATTTGGAAACTTTGTAGTGAAGGATGGTTATAAAGCTTTGCCTTGACTCTGTTTAAGAAATTAAGTCAAACAATATTTGTGTGGGACTAGAAAGGGCAGTCTTGATGGGAGAATGGTGGTATCTGGAGTGGGAACAGGAGAGATAAGTAAAATTAGACTTTAAAAAAAATTAAATTGCTTGGTAATGCAGAGATTGGCTCAGTGGTTAAGAACTAGACATCTTACTGCTCTTGTATAGGGCCTAAGTTCCATTCCCAGCATCCATATTGATCAACTCACAACTACAGTGCCTTTAGTTTCATGGAGTCAGCCATCCTTTTCTTTCCTCCAGGGGCACTTGCAAACACACACACACACACAAACACACACACACAAACACACATACATACTCATGTGCATGCATGTGTGTAAAAAAAATCTTTAACAGAAATTTAGTTGTTTCCTTTACAAGAAGAAAATGACAACTCATTTTATATTTTGCAATAAGTGCGAAGTTAAGGTAACTATAAGAGAGAATGTTTGCATACTGATGGGTCTGAGTGACTTGGCTCTTTGGGAAAGCTAATGGAACAAAACGGTGACCAAGATCCTCCATTTGTCTCTCCCCATGGCACATCAACAGTTCAGGTTTCACACACCAAAGTGTCTTATAAGAGTTAAGGTAATCTAGGGAACCCAGCAGAGTGCTTGATTTTAGTATGTGAAAACATACTCTGAAGATGGCAGATAGGGGATATGCAACCAAGTCCAAGTACCTAGAGAAGAGAGGTCACTTCTGCTCAGAAAGGGAGGGAGATATAAATCCAGCCCTTAAACTTCAAGCAATGTGTTTCTTCAACTCAAAAATGCAAGTGTCTAGGAAGGGAATTGACACAAACCTTATAGACCTAAAGGCAAGAACTAAGACTGCCCTAGTGCTAAGGAGGATGAGAATGTGGATATCTACACACAGACAAAAGTGACAGACTATGTCTCCAGCAAAATTGTCATCTAAAACCTAACAAAGTAAATTTTCCAACTGAAATAAAACTATGTCAAGTAGTAAAAAGAAAATAAAAATGTGGACAGAATTTTAAAAAGAAGGCTCAGAAATAATTATACAAACAAACCCAAGTGGCCTAATATAAATTTGGTGTTTAAACCATTCATATATTTACTATAAGAACTAAAAACAAATTAATTGTAATAAAGTCTTCATTAATATGGTGGTGTGGTGGTTTGAATGTGCTTTGCACAGGGAATGGCACTAATAGGAGATGTGGCCTTGTTGGAATAGGTGTGGCCTTGTTGGAGTAGGTGTGGCCTTGTTGGAGTAGGTGTGGACTTGTTTGAGGAAGTATGTCACAGTGTGGGTGGGCTTTGAGACCCTCTTCCTAGCTGCCTGGAAGATAGTGTTTTCCAGTTTGTCTGGAACAAGATGCAGAACTCTCAACTCCTCCTGTGCCATGCCTGCCTGGATGCTAGCATGCTTCCTGCCAGAGTGATAATAGCTTGAACCTCTCAACCCGTAAGCCAGTCCCAATTAA